CAGACTTTTGCACATGAAGTTGGCTCATCTGATGATGAAGACAGATTTGCCTTCAAAGCATGGGCCCACCAGGTTTAGGTCTATTGTGTGATGCCGTATTTGCACGTTTGCTTAATGAGATGGGGAAACCTCACAGAGTGGTCTCTGCTGGTGTCATGGCATGATGGTAAAAAGAGGCTTTTGCAGTAAAATCCATCCTGCCCTTTGAACCTGTTGAAATTTGGAATGGACACATGCACATTTGTGCAGATGATGATTTGGTGTTTGCAAGTCAGCGATCATCAACCATCTCTGTAACTCTTCCTTCACGGCTCAGAAGCTGGTTTCATTGCTGTTGATTTTGTGAAGCCCTCAAGCAATCTCTCCCCTCCTGTTTTGGTCATTTGCTTCACATTTTAAAAGCTTTTCTCTTAGCAGCCCTGTTTAAGTGCTTTGGGATGACTTTTGCTACATTTTACAGCTGCGATGCCCCAGGGCTCTGATGGAAGCCTTGCTGATTGAGTTGAAGGAACCGTGTTGGATTACATCTGTTTCTGTGCTAACTTACATCCCTAGGCTGGAAAGGAGAAAGCAGCAGATGCCAATTTGCTCGTATGAATACAAAAGAAACATTTTAAGATGAGACTTATTACTGTGAATCAGTGAAGGTGTGAAGCAGTTATTTAACAAAGTTAGAGGGGATGAAACTGTTCCAAAATAATTCCTCCTCGAGTCCATAGTGTACCAGCGTCTCAGGACTTGTCTTACAGTTTTAACTTTGAATCCCAGAGAGATGGCCTTGAGTGCACAGCCTTGAGCTATGAGGCTGAGTTTGCCTCATTTCATAAAATTACATCCCCTGACCCTTGTGGAAGATCTTGTCTCACTTTGAAGGCTGGAGTTACCACAGGTATTTTTTATTTGTGGAGCTGTGTCACTGCACAGGGCTGGGTCTGGCTGTGCTCAGCTTCACACAGGGCTGTGCCGTGTCCTGTCTGCACACAGCCTGGGGATGCTGCGCTGCCTCAGAGGGCTGCTGGTGCTCAGTGCTCCACCATGAGGGTTAAACAAACATGATTTAGAATTCTTCTGTAAAAACAGAGCTCGCTTTCTTAGGAATTTGCTTCAGAAAGGACTGTGAGATATTCTCTCTCTCTAAGGACGTATATTACAAAAATAGCACGGTCCTGTGTCTGCAAACAGAAATGTGAGCCTGGAGAAGAACTCCAGCAGCCGAACGGCTTGGGTGAGCCCATTGTAAACAGAATGAATTGCAGCAGTGACTGCATAACTAAACTTCCTTTAAATACAACCTTCCCTCCTCAGAATTCTGAAAATACCCCAGGCTTTTTTCGTGCACCGTTTCCAAGCTGTTTAGGCCTAACCGCGAGGAACAGCTTCCAGAGCAGAAGAGTCCCAGCAGCGCTCTGCCTTCCTAAGGGCCGGGCTGTGCGAGCAGCAGCGATCCCATGGGCAGCGCCGTGCCCATGGCTGAAAGACACAGCCCCAGCATCCCAATGGCACTGCGACTTAGGCTGTCTGCCTTCCGTGCTGCTAGCTGATTGCACTTGACGTGAGCCCGATGACTACAGCAGTAGCAAACAAATACTGCAGAAGCTACAGGGGGTGTTTCTGCACATGGTCAGCGTGTTGGGACCAAACAGGACTGAACGCGGCGGTGACAGCTTCATGTAAGCGGGAGCTCAGATTTGAGGGCTGGATCAAACAGTACGTGCTGCTGCTCCCTCAGAGGCTGTGTGCCCTTTGGCTGTGTTTTTTTAATCTCTTTTTACTATAGAAATAGCTCGAGGAGATTATGCTGCGTCATTCGGTTCCCTGCCAGGGTGTATTTTAGTTAAAGGCAAATGAGAAAATGTGTGGTGCAGGAGAGTGGCTGTAACTTCCATGGCATAAGCAAGGACATTACAAATTACGTGAGGCAGGGAGGATCTGAGCACTGCAGATCAAATTCAGCCACTTTGTCTGGAGACATAAGAAGAAATTTGCTTTTGCCATTATTGCCACTTAGGGAGCTGCCAGGTGGCTGGGTAACGACCCGGCTGTGCTGCAGAAATGCAGAATCAGCAGAGGCTGCTTGCAAAGGAAACCTATGGAGTGCTGCGAGTGCATAGCAGCACCAGGAGCTGCAGGTGGGGGGACAGGGAGTGGATTTCAGCTACCTTGGGAGGGATGATGCTGAGGGGAAACAGAGCTCGTCCTGCAGTCATGTGTTGGGGCTTCTGTGGGCTGCCAACAGTGGTGGGAAGCAGAAGCCACCACAGCTTGCCATTCATACACACATCTGGAGATAAGGGGCTTGTTTTACGGAGGGTGGGAGCTGGCATGGCACCTAGGGCTCCTCTAGGGGTGGTAAGAATTTGGCACAAGAACAGCAAAGACATTGCATCTTGTCTACCACCAACACTTTCTCCTCACTTTCCCCTTGCAGCAGAAAGCAATGTCAATTGCTTTGGAAGGATTCAAATGAAAATCCTTTGAAGCAGCCATCAGACTTCCTTCCTTTCCTTCCTCTGCTTTGTCAGCGATGCTCTTCTCTGCTAACTTAATGGCATGAAGCAGCCCGGTGTCTCTGCCCAGTTGGGTGGATAGGAGCACACAGGGCACTTGGAATGCCATCAGCCCTGATTTCAGTTTGTCACAGGAGCTGCAGAACTGATTTGCTGTACTGGAAGGAGATTTTGCTGCTTGCTGAGCTGGTTGAAGTGATTCAATTGCCTCCTCAGGATATATAGCTAATGCTAAACCCAATATGTATTAGTACACGTTAGAAGAGAAATCTATAATAAAAGGCATATCCTGCAATCATGGTGTTAATTACACTGTTTTCTGTGTTGAAATGCTGCATTTGTATGCCTCGCCATCTGCATCGCAGCCACTGCATGTGGGAAGCATGGAATGTGTCTTATCAGACACAGGGCGCACACAGAGGACATCCAAAGGTTATGTTGTCATCATGTCAAATGGGGCCGTTTATTCCGACTGCTGGAGAAGCAGAGCTTAATCAGAGCATCAGCCATATGCAGATCTGAAATTAGATTTTACAATAACCACCTGTCTGCTGGTTTGAATCCATCATATCCTTTGGGTTGGAGCTGTATTTGCCCAGTGAGTGCGTTTGCTGAGAGAATGTAATCTGAAAACCTTCATGCAGCAGAGTACCAGTGCCAGAGTGCACGTATATGTATGAGTGTGCCATGGGGCACAGCTGCCTGATGCTCTGTGCTACGGGCTGCTGCTAACGGGGCTGAGGTCAATCCCTGCAGCAGCCAACAGCGCTGCTTAAACCTCACATCAACTTCATTCTGCCGCTCTCCTTTTTGGGTTTACGATGCTCACACACTCAGCCAAAGGGCCTTCTGCCTTGGAAGGAAGAGGAGCACTGAGCGTGGTATGCCACAGTGACAGAGGATGGACACAGCACCAGCTTTTCCTCTCCTGAGCATTTCTAAGAGTATGAACAAACGCCCATGCTCATATATTCATATAGTGAAGCCTGTCACAGGTGTGACTCACGGCATTATAGCTTTAACCAGTCAAAAATCTATGTTAAAGTTTGAGCCCCTCTCTGTTATGTTGCAGTGTGAACAACAGCCATGTGTTGGCTTCCTGTGAGCTGCATTAGGGCGGTGGTGAGTCAGGATGAAAAGAGCAACGATATTCAGGGTAAGGGCTGACATTTGGAATGCTGGCACTCAGAAAGAGGCTGCGGAATTCAAAAGAATTCAAAAGCAAAAATTGACAAACAGCTTGTGCCATGATTTAATCATGTTCAAAACTGCCTGAAACAAAGCGTTACAGATTTTGCCTTGCTTATCTCCGCTGCAGTGGTTGTTCTTCTGAAGTGGGAGCTGCTCTCCCTGGGGAAAACGAGAATGTTATTTTCTTAACTGGGGATAAGGCTCTTCCCACGGCAATCAGCGGGAGGTTTCCATTGAATCCAGTGAGAACTCATCTGGGCCATACATGTGCTCAGTGACCAGAGAGCCTCCCAGCTCCAGCGGGACGTGAGCTCACCTCTCCCCAAGATATCAAAGCTCCACCAGTTGGGGTTGCAGCTGTGCCCAGGTGTTGGGAGGCAGCCATGGAGCTTCCCACAGGCAGCAGGCAGAGCCTTCACTTACAGCAGTGCAGAAAGGAGCTGCAGCCTGTGGTACCGAAATGGCGCTCAATAGCCTCAAACCTGCACCTTTCCTGAGCTCTCCTTTTGCAGAAGTTTGGTCTCAGAACAGGCTGTCTTCCCTCTGGAGTGCCCTTGAAATACTGCCCAGGTCAAAGCACCGCTCAGCAGGGTCTGTCCAGGAGGGCCACCACTGGTCCCCATCATTGGGTCCCATTGCTGGGACTAATCCAATCACTCGTCTCATCCCAGGTCCCATTTCTGGTCCCATCACTCAGCACGCAGGGCATAGAACCCAGGTGCGTGGTGCTCAGAGCTCCGTGCCACCAGCTCGTTCCTCATCACCCGGGAAGACACAAGGATGCGCTTTATCTCTGTACGTTGCACACGTCTTATCCCCGTGGTAAGCTCCTGAAACACGCACAACTCAGGTGTGTTCGTAGCCTCCTCTCACAGCGAGCTGCCCAGAGGCGGCTCAGCTACAAAAGCCGCTTTGCCCGGCGAGCCCGCCCCGGCCCGGCTCCGTACCGACGCGCTTCCACCACCCCCTCCTGGCGGCGCCGAGCCGTGCCTCTCCCCGGGTACCGGCGAGGGGTTCCGCCGCTGAATTTCCGCGCCGGGCCCTCTGGAGGTCAGTGTTCGCCCGCGCTGCAGCGGACCTGTTGCACCGCGCCCGGACCGGGCAGCGCCCGCCGCTCTCAGCCTCCGCGGCCCCCAGCGGTCCAGGCTCCCGACGAGCCCCGGCGGGCGCCGCCGGTGCCGGCGGGTGCGGGGCGCGGCGGCTCCCCCCGCCCTGACGGCGCCCCCGGCCTCGCCGTGAGCCGCCCCCTCCCCTCCTCTCCCTCCCCTTTCTTCTTTCCCCGCCCGGGGCGGTGCCGTGCCGTGCCGAGCCGCGGGGTGTAGCGCGGCGCAGCGGCCGCGGGCACGGCGGAGCCCCGCGGAAGATGGCGTACATCCAGGTGGGTGCGGAGCGGCGCCGCTGCGGGATGGCAGAGCGTCCCGCCGGGGTTCGGGGGCGATTCGGGGCGCTGCGCGGAGCCGGGCGGGCGGCGCTGCCCTGCGCGGTTTGGGCGCGGAACTTCGGGGTAACTTCTGTGGCGGGGGGCGGGCGAACGCGGGCCGTGCCCGCACGGGGACTTCTTGCCGCGGGTGAAACGCGACTGCCGAGCCCCAGGCAGCCCGGGATGGCGGCGACCTCAGCGGCCCCTACGGCCTGGGCGCATCCTCTGCTGCGGGCGGCCCGAGCCGTCGGCGTGATGGATGGGAACCCCCGGCAGTGCGGGGCCGAATTCATTTCGGGTTATTTTAAAATCCCCAGCGCTTTTCTCTCCGGCTCTGCGGTTTCCAGCTGCTTGTTTTTCTAGCTCTGTAGGCTGCAGCCCAATTTTCAAATAAAAACGAGCAGAACGCCTCTAGCTGGACGAGGCGTCCGGGAGCTCTACGGGAGCCCCTGCTCTCAGCGCCGTCCGTGCCCGCTCTCCTCCCCCCACGTCCTCCGGGTTTCCCCCGGCCTGGGGCTGCGGCGGGGGCTCCGGGTGAGCGCGGTTCCCGACGGAGCGGGCTGGGGGCCGCCGTGCGCAGAGCCCCGCGTGCCGGGATGTGCGGCGGGGCCGCGGCTGCCCCGCGCGGATTCAGCCGGTGCCGGTGGGGGCACATCGCTGTCCCCGGGGACGTGGTTTCGGCGCTCAGGCGCTGCAGAGTGGGGCAGAATGAGATTGCTGGGCACTGGGGGCAAGGCACAGGGATACCGGGGACAATAGGGGTGCCTGGCTGGGAGTCCTCACTGCCCGTTGCACCGTTCTGCAAACCTCTGCTCCTCCCAGCGCCCACTTCCACCTCTGTGAGCCAGGTGGATGCGCACAGCTGCTCCTGTTTGCTTTCCTTTCATGGGTTCCTGCTTTTATATCCTCGGTGGCACTGGTGACTTGTTTGCCTGTTCTGTAACACTCAGCCCTTGTTATTGCTGAACCCCCCCGGCAGAGCGTTCTGGGCGATAGCAGCATTGCTGTTGAGCTCTGTGCAGCCCTCGTGCTGCTCTGCTTGCTGGCACATGGCAGCGCTCTCCCATAGCCCATGGCTGTGCCATTCGTGGCTGTGTGCCCCAAGCTGTCCCCATATCCCTGCAGCCACTCAGAAGTGCCACTTCTTTTACCCAGCATGTGCTGCAGCATTTGAGTGCATGGCACAAATTCAGTGCATTATTTTTAGAGCAATTTAAATATCCTCACAGCAGCTTCGCTGAACCATTGTCACTTTGACTGCAACTTTGCATTAATCAGGAATGATAAAGCCCCATGAAACCTCTCAGGATCTCCTTAACCAGTTGGTCCGTGGGTATCCAATCACCATCTCGTCACATTGCACTGCAGCATTTTCAGCCTCTTAATTTCTGTTGTAAATGAGCCATGGTCTTCTCACCAAGTGCTGGTTCTGGAGAAGTTCAGATGGAGTAAACACAGCTTATAGGAGTATTTTTGGAACAAAATTCCACTGCTAAATCATGGCTTCTTTGTAGAAGATTGTCTTTGTTGTCCATGAACATAAAGACAGAAACTGATTTGTGCAGGTGGAAGGCAGGGAAGGGGCTTTTTGTTGTTTCTGTCTTGTGGACCCCCTTTCAGAAGGACAGCTGGGACAATTGGGACACTCAATTAGTCATTAGCAGGGTAAGAAGAGCATTTCACCAGGCACCTGGAATGCTGCTAACTGTGTGGTTACAAATGAAGAAAGGTGTGTAGAGTGTTGCAAGGTGGGCTGTGTGACTTGAAGCGCGTCTTGCTGTCATTTCTCCCTTTGCTATATACTTCCTGTACCTTCAGGAAGGGCTGCAGTGCAAACGTCTGAACTGGGTGCATGCTGCAGGCTTGGGGCACTCAGCTCTGTGCTTTTAACCTCTGAGTCAGGAACAGGGAGAGGCTGAAAGAGATGTGGCTCTTGCTATGAATGCTGCTTTTGCCAGGTTGGTGTTGGAGCTCTGTTCATATGGGCAGATTCTGGACACACACCTTTCCCAACTGCAATGTTTGGATGTGATTTGCTGTCTGCTGCCATTGGAGACAGCCATAAGGAAAGCAAAGTGGCCACAGATGGTACCCATAGCAAGGGGCAAGGAGCAGGACTGTTGTGCTGTGGGGCGGGTTGGGATTTCACTCCTCAGCAAGCTGGCTGGGAGCAACAGCCAGCACCTGGCCAGGGCATCTCTATGGGGAATTGGTTGTTTTGCAGAAATTTCAGCTCGTTCCAGGCCGGGGCATGTCGTGGCAGAAAATGTGAAGTTGTTTGAGCATGGCTAACCTGTTTTTGTCTCTTTCATTTTGTTCTCCTTTGCTTCATCCTGGATGTCTAAAAGGACAGTTGGAACCAATAAATGAGGTGAGTTAATCTGATGATTCACTCTCTGCTCTGTCTCCTCGCTCCATCCTGAGGGGATTGTCTCGTATTTTCTGACTCTTTACTGATGTCCTAGATATAAGTAACGCACCGCATTCTAGGCTGATGATTTTTTTTTTCCCCAATGTACAGTGTTTGTTTGTGGAAAACCTGTTTTAGTGGAGCAAAACCAGATGTTCCCATGAGGCTTCCTCTGCAGACCTGTGTTCTAAGAGAAAATCCCTCAGTGTGGTGTGATAGCACCCTTGTACCAAGTGATTTGGTGGGACATCTGTGGAGAAATGCTCATGTGCTCTATGTCTTCAGCTTCTTATGGTCCTTCCAAGCTTACATACAGCTGTAGAGTGGTTTGATTCCTGCTCAACTCTGGGGATGTGCTGTGCTCTCTCAGCTCTGTCTCGTGGCCATGGGACAATGATGTTCTCAGCAATGCTCCAGCAGGCTGCTTGCTGCAGGATGGGACGTGGCTCAGTTTGGGCTTTCTGGTGCAGGCATTTGTGCTCCCTGCAGTGGGCTGGGTGTGCACAAAGTTAATCATCCTAGCAGAGGGAGGCATGCAGACAGAACGCGTTCGCTAATCCGTTTTAGCGGCAAATTTGTGCTGTAATGCCTTACGTGAATGTATCATGTGGGTATTACATGCTGACATGTCTATGGGGATGAAAAGTGTTCATGTTGCTGTGTTAAGGTTTTCAAATTAAATAGACCTTGCAGAATTAAATTGGAGCTTTCACTTACCTTCTGGTTTTCACTCCTTCTATTGTATGTTTGTTCATCAGTTTGCTGATGTGCATGAAAGAACAAGCGTGTTTCCACTCCAGCGTGTTGTTACGCAGTAGTGTTTTGTAAATCACCCTCTTGCCAACATACATAATGATACATTGCTACCAGAGGAGAAGTACCTGCAGTGAATGCTTATTTTCCTGCCTTGTTATGGCATCAGTGAAGTTGGGCCGGTAACTGTGCAGCACTTGTCATTTTGGTATAGATGGAATAAACACAGTTCTTAATGTGCTGTTGCAGAAACACATGAGTACAGCTGAATGTTATTTCTCAATAGCTACTGATGGGTTGTAATCTTGTACTTTGGTTTCCAATGGCTTCAGGGTCTGCTCGCTAGAATCTCGGATCTCTTGCTGTGCCGGTGGACTTGTAGAAATTGTTGTCAGAAGTGTTTCGACTGTAGCTGTTGTCAAACAAATGAAGATGAAGTTGAAATCCTGGGACCTTTTCCTGCTCAGACTCCAGCCTGGCTGTAAGTTTAGCTGCACAATTTCACAGCACTAATGGAAGAGTAGGGCTGTTCAGTTGCGATGGGAGTATTGATATGAAAAGGTGAGAGGGGCTCAGGGTTTGGAGGATGCCATGCATGAAGGAAGGATCTCCCGGTGAGGGTGGGAAAGTAGGTGGCTCAGTGGTAAGGAAAACCAGCAGCACTGTTAGCTCAGATAGTGTCGGGAGCCTTGGTAAAGCACCTTCTGGTAGGTAGGTCAGAAATTACCTTGTAAGCTGGCATGGAAGCTAATTTGTTGGTTTAGCATTAAAGACGCTTCTCATTTTCTCTACAGACAGACCAGACCTTTGGAGCACTTTCCACTAAGCTGAAATGCTGATGAATTTGTTTTGGAAAAATTTCTTATCTTGGCATTAAGATTGTTATAATCCAGGAAGGTGAAAGGCGTACTTTGTACGTGTTCTGATGAGAAATCCATCCAAAGTTTCATTTAGCAGGGCTTGAACTCCTGCATCATCTTAGTCCTTTTCAGGACTTCCTCTCGAATCAGCAAAGAACAAGAGTGACAGCAGCAGGTTTCACCCTTTGAAAATCTAGCACAAAGACAGACAGTGATCTCTTCCCTTTTTTACTCTCTCTCTTTTGGGAACCAGAGAGGTGACTGCGGAGGCATTGCTGATGTGTTGGGCTGTACTCTGTGCTCAAAGCCGTGGCACAGGAGGTGCCCATTTGGCACATCCCATGATGCTGTGATGTTGGTGGCACTATGATGCTCAGCTAATGTTACCTACTGCTGCGAATACCTGCTGCTGCTCTGTTAGGTCCAAAAGGTCCGTGTGCTGTTGCTGCATGAAATTTGTGTTAAACCCGTGTTTAAATCATGGGTTAAATCATTATCTATGTGCTTTTTTGAATCGTGGTAGAATAGGATGGTAATTAATACCGAAGCAATAAAAGTAGAAATATTTGAGATGTGTTAGAGTGATTTTTGAATGCTGAACATCATGTTTAAGAGTCAGATATATGTCCAGAAGTTGGCTCACCTGCAATTAATGTGAAATGGAAACAAAATCAATGCTAAGTAGGAAAGCATTGCAGACAGGAGAACGCAGCGATGAGGTAGCAGTATTGGACGTAGAAAGATTGCTGCAGAAACACTTGTGCACCTGGGAGCAAGCAGGCAGCCTTGCTGTGAGAGGGAACCTCAGAACTGCCATGCTGAGCAGAGGGCTGTGACGTGCAGCTGGTTGGCCCTGCAGCCAGGTATGGGGCTGCTGCATCCTGCCTGGCTCTAGGGCACTGTGATGTGATGATCATGTGGATGAGCTGGGCTTTGCCACAGGCTGAGAACACAGAAACCTTTCGACTTGTAAAATGCTCTCTCTCCAGTCTGTATTGTTCTACCCCAATTCCACTCCATCTGAAAGCCTTGATGATTAATTTTGGTAATGTTGATAAACAGAAGATAACACATTCTCAGAGAAGAGCTGGGCATTTTTCCAACCACGTTGTGCTTCATGCTACTCTTCTCCCAACCACGTTGTGCTCAGTGATGCAGCCCAGTAGGGTCCCTAGGACCCCCAGCCTGGTTCACGTTCAGGGCTGTGCCTTTGGTGCCACATCTTCACCATTCCTTCCAGCTTTGGGGCAGGTAGGGGCTGGTGGGAGAAGGTGAGTTCCCACAGGTGGCACCTGGGAGGGCAGGCAGAGCCGTTAGGGAGGACTCTGTGGATGAGTAATTTGGCTTTGAGTGGCAGCATGAAGGTGTCTTGCCCTGGGATGACTGAAGCCACTCTCCATGCATTGTAGGGCTCTGCTGACTCCTGCTGCTTGGCAGGGATGGCCCAACGTGGCACCAGGAGAGTGACCTTGTTGGGAGCTGGTCAGGAAGCCCCAAAAGGAATGGAGTGAGGATAACAAAGAGCAGAGGTGAGAAAGACATTGAGTGAGAGGATTCCTTTATGGAATTACCTATTGAAGGTAGGAAACAGTGTTGAGTTAGGGTTAGGTCTAGGGTTGGAAATAGGTCTTGGAGTAATGTGTTTAATAGGTATGTTTTTACATACTCAGCTCAGAGATCTGTGTATGCTAATTAATACCATCCTTATTTCTCTTTTTGAAGAGAAAGCTTTTAGATTCAGTGGAAACCCCTCAAATGGAAGATGAATGTGACAACACCATATTCTGCATTTAGATACATGCATTAAGTTTGGGAACAAATCAATTTATTGTATTCCCTGCTCACAGCCTGAAAGCGTTTTAAAAATAAACCCAAATTTTCAGCTGAGGTCTTTCGATGCTGCCATTTCTTCATGCACCCAGGAAGCAAATGCCATGCAGTTTGCTCCTTCCCTATGTGCCCACCCAGTCCCCAGAGAAAAATTGATGCTATGGTCTTCATTTGCCCACTAGCAAACAACAGGATGATCTGTCTCAGTGATCTGTCTTTTGTGTTTTGCATGCAGGTTTTCACTTTGGTAGCTGTGAGACACCTGATGTCCTGGAAATTCAGTAGAGGTCTTTAAGGCTGCAAGTTTAAGTACTTCTTGAGAGGCTGTTGATTTTCCTCACTTTCTGAATTTTCACAGTAGCCTCCAGTAGCAACTTGGAAAAAAAAAACCTTACTGAACTGAACCTAATTGCATTGACCTGAATGCGTGGTAGCTGCTGCTGCTTATCTTACGATGAGTGATTGCATCCCAGTCTGTGCAGTGATGGGCTGGGAATAAGGCTGTGTGCTGGCACTGCCTGTTGTGGAATATTCTTCATAAAAACCCAGAGATAAATGGTGCATGTTTTGTGAGATTAAATTGAAATCAGAACGAGATTCCTCTTCCCAAAGGCTCTGATTAAGCAGAAACAGAGCTGCTTCAGCCAGAGCCAAAGTTTATTTGAGGAAAAATTATTGTAGCTCAGTAGCAATTTCCTTACTAAAGGTCATCTGTATGTTATTAACTCACTATTATGTTTACCCATTGTAGAGCATCCTTAATGCCTCTTCCTGATTCCCTTTTCACTCTGCTTTCTTGTTTTGTGCATTTGCTTCTCAGACATGAACACATCCAAATGCTACGTATGATCATGCAGGTCTGCACTTAGGCATGAAAAAACTGTTTGTGCTTCTACTGTGTCACACTGCAGGCTTTGGACTGCCTCTAATGGGCTGCAGAGCTGTGCAAGTACTGTGTGCCCTCTTTAACACAGGTTTTGGTTTTGATTTATTTACTTTTGGATTTCCTTCTTTGTTTGTTTATTTTCAATGCGGATGAGTTGTATGAGTTGTATGACTGGATTAGTGACGCTTGCATGTACTGTAAATCCTGCTGTGAATTTTGTGGATTTAGATAAGAAATTCTAGTTTAAATCTCTTTTATATTCAGGGGGCCTTTTCTGTTTTGTAAAATTGTATTTCCCCAAACATTTGTTTCTCTAGCTCAGTCACTGATTACTAGAGCAAATGATTCAATGTATTCCATTGGTACCCAGCCTGGCCATGGCCATGGGATGGGTGACTCGGGAGCTGGGCTGGAGCAGCATTCCCTTTGCTTTGCTCATTCTGTGCTGGCACTTTCCTTGCTCTCTGTCTCCTGGATTCACTTAGCGTGGTGCCCTAAGTGTCCCGTGCCATTGCTTCATTCGTTTCCATCAGCAGACTTCTACCCGTGGCTCAGCTCTCAGGGTGCAGTTGAGGCTGTACCCTCTGCGTGGTTCTCACTCTCCTTCCAGCCAGAGCTGAGAGATCCCAGCAGTGGTGCATGCCTCGCAGCTGTGAGAAGTTGAGACTTTTAACCTTAGAGAGGAAAACTAAGGTGAAATGGGAACTGTATGAGGATTTTGTTATGATCCCAGTCTCCTACTGAATCCTCTTGAGGTGCTTCAGCTCTCAGTGGCACTGTTACTGGGTTCTGCTGTCCTCTCCCTGCCCCCACCAAGACCCCATGGGCAGTACCATTTCTGTCTTTTGAAAGTCACCTCTGCTTTATAGGAGTGGATAAAAAGCAGCCAGTTCTTTAAAAAGGCATATCAATAGATTTATTGAGTTTTGAAACCTCAGCATTGTGTCTGCAAAGTAATATTTTACTGAGAGAGGTGTTTGGTGGGACTGGGATGTCTGAGCATGATGGTCTCCCATGCTGCTCCTTCCTACTGGTGGCCACTTCCAGAGAGCACCAATGGATTTACAGCAGTAAGCTCGTGTTGTGAGGTGTTTTTGTTTGTTTTCTTTTTTTTTATTTGCTCAAAAACGAATATACTACTGCTGATTGAGGTCCAAGTCACATGCCTTTGTGGCCTGTGTTATGCTCTGGTGCTGATACACTCCTTCTTGAAAGGCAGGCAGAAAGATAATCTCCTTTTTACATAGGCATGAAGTCAGTTGCTCAGCCTTCTGCTTGCCAAGTAGATGTGAAGGAGACACCCTGCAGCATCCTGGGATGTGCACGCAAGATTAGAATATCCAAATACATTTTTGTTCTGTATGTAGTCCTTCTACTGTGTTGAATCACCCAAAGGTCTCTCATTATAACAGGATAAGCAGCCAAAATGAGGACAAAAATGGAGACTCTGATAATACAATCAGTGACTTGCCTCCCACTCATCAGGATGTTTCCCCTGACAGAAGGCGGTCGTCTTCAGATACATCACGGTCCACTTACAGCCTCACCAGGCGGATTTCAAGTAAGGTCGTCCTTCCAACATTAATGTAATTCTTGTGGGGGAAAAAGTCAGAGTGTATTGCCTGCTCTTTCATCTCTTAGACAGGTAATCAAGTCCGAGCTGAAGGTACATTGATTAAAATCTTATCCCGTTCTGCAGGAACATGGTGGAAGAGGCCAGCCTTGTTCTTCTTGCTAAAGCACGTGTCTGGTGAAAATGGATGGGGGGGAAGCGTAGCTGAGATTGCTCTGCAGCATAACAAAGGGTGCTATTAATTTTTTTACAGTGTAGTGGTGGAAGGTCCCACGTTGCACAGGTGCAGAATAGCCAAACGTAAAGAACCACGAGATGCCTTGGGTCTCTAATAGGTTGAGTTTCTAACAATCATATTTATGCACTTTTCTTTTTTAGGTTTAGAGACGAGGAGGCCAAGTTCTCCATTAATTGACATTAAACCTATTGAGTTTGGAATAATAGGAGCCAAGAAAGAAATAGTTCAGCCAACTATCCTGCGGAAAACCTATAGTCCAGATGACTATTTTAGAAAATTTGAACCAAGACTGTACTCTCTTGACTCGAATAGTGATGATATGGACTCCTTGACAGATGAGGAAATCTTATCCAAGTACCAGCTGGGCATGCTGCACTTCAGCACTCAGTACGACCTGCTGCACAATTACCTGATAGTGCGAGTCATTGAGGCTAAGGATCTGCCTCCCCCCATTTCGTACGACGGCTCAAGGCAAGATATGGCTCACTCCAACCCCTATGTGAAGATCTGCCTGCTTCCAGACCAGAAGAACTCCAAACAGACTGGAGTTAAGCGCAAAACTCAGAACCCAGTGTTTGAAGAGAGGTACACATTTGAAATCCCATTTTTAGAAGCCCAGAGAAGAACTCTGCTTTTAACTGTAGTGGATTTTGACAAATTCTCACGCCACTGTGTCATTGGCAAAGTGTCAATGCCCTTGAGTGATGTAGACCTCGTGAAAGGCGGACACTGGTGGAAATCCCTTGTTCCTAGTTCTCAGGTAACAGAATTGATCACATTATTACCACAGTTTTTCCTGCTGTGTTTGTTTGTTGGTTTTGGTTGTGGGTTTTTTTTCTGTGTGTGTTTCCTCCTTTCTTTGTTAGCATTTAATACTATTTTTTATTAGTTGATGTTATCTTGTTAATGCAGCATCTGCTGGGTTGAGATGAAGTTGAGCCTATAGCTGGCCTCGTAGCTACTTTGCTGTGGGGTAGAGAAGCTGCCTTCTTTCATAGTCAAGGGAGGTGGAATGACAAAAGATTTATGTCAACTCCAATGAGAGCAAATCAAAACTGCTTTGGAAATCTGCACTTTGTGGAAGATCTTTCTTGTCACTGCAGTGACCTGCCTCTGTTCCCAGACACTGCAGTGACACTGTCTCTTCTGGGTCACTCCTGTGGTTGTTCACATGACTGTGCTTTGGAGAACCACTGGCACCAGTTCAGTAATGATCTGATGCAAAGAAAGCATATAGAAGACAAAATCCATCCCAGAGCAACAAGTAGCAAGGTAATTTTGTTTCTGTCATGTCCCTGAAGGAAATTGAACTTGCCACAGATGATATCTGATGTGAATGGCATGTTGCATGCACGCAGCTTTGGGCCAGCAGTGTGGCCTGAATGGGATGGCAGAAGGATGCAGAGGGGGTCCTGTGCCGAGAGGGATCCCAATAGCACTGCTTCCTCTGCACTGGGAAAGGAGCTCCTCAGGGGGAAGGGCTGAGCTTTGCCACCAGGGCCTGCAGCGTGCTGCCAGGTCTGCTTCTGGCAGTGCCACCTGCAGCAGCCTTGCACAAAGCGCAGCCAGAGCTGGCATGGGTGGCATTGTAGCAGTCTGTGCTAAAGACTGGAGCGTCACCGGAGGCTGACATAATGTGATTGCCTCTACCTGATTGTCACCACCTGTGAGATTACAGTTTCTAAGTCTTGCTATCTTTGCTGAATCAAAAAGCCTGTGTGAACTCAGAAGGTTCGTGGTTCTTTTGATTTATGTCCACAAAAGCATAGCTGGAAGTGCTGCACAAGATGAGCAACAGATTGCTGACCTCATCTGTGATGTTTGGGTCTGAGAGTGTGATGTGGAGTGGGATCTTGTCCTCAGGTGCTTGTGGAAAGGAAACCCAGCCAGGCAGCGTGCGCTCACTGTGCTGCTCTGGGCTCCAGTGACTGCAGGAGCTTTGTGCTTCATCTCACAGCAGAGGACCTTATGACTTACGGCTGCATTTGCTGGAGCACAGCAGTAGTGTTACAGGACTAGCCAGAATGTTTCTCATGCAAAAAGGAAAGTTCTGAAAAGGTGAGCAGAAGTGAACTCTGCAGGCTCCTGCTGCCTGTGTGGGGGTCTGCTTTGCTTGGTAACAACCTGGTGGGGAAGGAGAGGGCAACTGGATTGCAGACGTTCATCTTCCCTATGAACAAGAACAAGAGATCCCTGGGGTCCCCTCTCTGCCATTTTTTTCCAAACGTGTATTCACAAATGCGCATTACTTTTTTTCTTTTTGGTTTTGGTGGCTCATAATGGGCTCAATATTTAAGTACCTGAGGACAGAGGTCTCTTTGCATCCCACTTATTCTCCTGTGATTCATACCATGCAGCCTTGCTTTTTAAAATTTTTTCCCCTCTCTGCTTTTGCACAATAAACATTCTCCTGTATTCTGTGTCTATTAGGAATGTGGTTGCAGTGCTCTGAACACAGCCATGCTTGGACAAGGCCATCTCAGCCTCTGTGTCAGGGGCCAGCCATCCTCCAGCTATAAGGATAAACACATCTATCAGAGGGTTAAAATAAATACTGGAAGCAGTAAAACAATACAGCTTGTTACTTTGAAGAATTGCATCTTAATATTTTCCAACAGCGGTAGTATTTGTCCTAGAAGTTTGTATTGTTAAATTGCCAGTTGAGAGATTCTGCCTTTTGGCATGACAGATTTGACATGCTGACAGATATTTTTTAATACTTCTCACTTCTTTGCTTGGTTAGCTGTGCAACAGCCTTCATCTGTTTTTTGTTGGGTTGAAGATGAGTCTGCCAAGTGCATTTTGTGTTGTGAAATCACTGTAGACTGGGACAGAAGCACCCAGTGACACCAGTAGTGGTGTTGGTCAGACACATGTCCTGGGATCTGGAGAAGCTGAAACAGATGCTCATAAAGCCAGCAGCAGTGGGAGATAAAGATAAGATAGGTGTACACTGGGATATGTAAAGATGGGAGACAGAAAATGTGAGGGTGTGGGTTTTTCTTTTTTTTACTGGCATTCATAGGGGAAAACGTGATGAGCATGAGAGATGGAGGGAAGTGAATCCAGGTGGCTGTGGAGAACGTTTTCTTCCTACCAGTGGGGTGGAATGTCTGTTTTGCTGCCTGGAAACCATTGCCAGGGTATGTGCTGAGGAGGGCAGGTGCTTCTGGGCAGGAATGGTGTGTGGTCCTCAGCAGCAGAACGCTGTCACCTCCTCGTGCAGCTGCTCGTTAACTGAGAGCCTGGAAACTTGCCTCAGGTACAACTGCTCAAATGAACCAGACTGTGTGGCATTGTGCGCTTGTTAAGTGAGCTGAAATGGAGTTGTTGCATCTGGATGTGTGTAGTTGGTGTCATCAGATAAACTGCATGTGTGTGAGCAGTGTGCTGTCCTCTCAAGAAAACAGGCACTGAGATCATTAATGCTAAGCATTGGGTATAAGACCATGCCTGTGCATAAGCATATTTTCAGTTTGGATCGTGTGTTAAGCATTTGGTGGGACTGAATCCAAAAGGGAGGCACAAGGGAGCTGCCATCCTATATGTGATCAGGGCCAGCAAATAAGCAGGCCTGACTCCTTGTAGGAAATGCCAGTGCAGGTGCTGCCAAATTCTCTATCCTCGGTAGTTCTGGATGGCTTTTTCTTCTAGGTTAGCTGCTCACAGAGAAGCTTTTGAGTCCGGTCTGATGGGAACGCTGCGCTCCTTAAATATCCTCTTAAATGTGTGTGGCTTCACTTAATTACCATGAATGAAGTTGGCAGCCCTTGCTGTGGCTGTGCTCAGATTCACACATTTTCCTGTTAAGATTAGTTCTGAAGCACATGTTAAGGACCCCAACTTTTATTGACATATGATTCATTTCTCTTTTGGCAGATTTGAGTAGGCAGGAATAAATGTTTTAGACCAGCAGTAATGAGAGCTTGGAGACCGTTCTGCAAAAGAAAAAAACTTGCGTGGTTGTAGTTGGCGGAAAATAACATAAAAAATCATCCTCCTCCCCAGTGTGGCCATTTCTGTAATAGGAGCGATAAGTATTGGACTTGCCTTTTTAACTTCATACTATGAGAGCACTAGAGTGGCGGTCTTTTACAGAGCTGTCATCTTTGTCCATGCTTCACAAATAGCTCTCCTGTGGCAGGGCTCTACAGTGTTTGACTCCCACCTCAGAGACAAGCCTACAGCAAGCATCACACTGTTGTTCTTACCATGCCTTGGTTGGGAAGGAGAAGTGAGAAAGGGATCTGAAATGCAAGAAATTTGTCACTTCTGAGCATTTCCTTCACCTTGCCTTGAATCCTGGGTGGCCCTGGCATTCTGCTGGAGGCCTCCAGGTGAACATGCTCTAAGTTTGCTCTTGGCACTGCCATTCCTGGGTTAGCTGTTGCACTTCTGAGAAGGTACCGTCTTTGCGGTACCTGTTATGTTTGACATTGGGCAGTGCAGGGCATTACCCAGCAACGTGCTGGCATGCATCTCTCTCGCAGGCATGGGACAGATGAAAAAGTGTCTGGCAACTTTGCTCAGAGAGCCTTGACACAGCAGCTGGTTCAACCTTGTGTATATCAGCGTGGAACTGAGTTCATGTTGGTGGTACAGCGTTGCAGAAATTAAAATGGAAGTGGGTATTGTCAAGGTTTATTCCCTATTTTTCAGGCATAGCTGTCTAATTAAAGGAGGTGGTGCAGAATCAGTGCTGATGAATGAAATATATGTATTTCAGTTCCTGAAATATGTGTATATATAAATATATTATTATATATAATATATATTTCTGATCCTTAGTAGCTCAGCCTTCCATGAATGATTGTTGTGTGTCACAGGATGCTGTAGAGAGCCTGTTAGAGCAAACTGTTCTAAGCCATCCGTTTTCTAATGTGCCTGGAGGTATCATCACAGATAACCTGGAGGAGGAAAATCAATCTAAAACTTCATTAGCAGTGTTGCATAGATGTCTGTGCTGATGTAATGTGCTCTGGTTCCCGTCGGGAACTGGGGAGAGTTTTTAGCTGCAGTTTTGCTGGTGTCGTAGCAATACTATATGAGCAGCCAGGGTGGGCTGTTAGTAAGGAATGTCCCTAATCAAAAAAGATGTGCAGATGACATTATTTATAAACCTCTTCTTCTCTTGGGATAGCCTCGTTGTGTTTCAGAGCGGACAGAAAAAACAAAGCTGTCCTTTGTGTGTTTGTTTCAACTCAGGTGATAAGGGCAGAAGGTTCTGGATGAGAGGCCAGCCCAGGGCTGGCAGTGTGATAGCGGCTGAGAGGAGCAGCCAGGAGTGAAATGCAAATTCAGCTTCAGGAGAGTCTCAGACATCCCAGGCTCGATGTCACTTAGGCACCTAATCAAACAGGAAATTGCTTTCCCAGGTCATCTGGGAGCTTGCACAAATCAGCGCATCGTCAGCATGCTAATGGGAGCTCAACCAAGGCCTTGGAGAGGTGCTGCCTGAGGGGCAGCTCTGAACATTGTGTTCTGTGAAGAGCACATCCAAGGCAAAACCAAAACAGACAGCATTTCATGTTTCTGATGGACAGGCAGGAAAGGGAAGATTCAGATGCGCTTCCTCTCCCTGACGTGTACCTTGTGCTGATGACAGCTCTTATGCTGTTAAGCTCCTGTTCCTCTTTGCTCAGCCAGTGTGTGAGTGTGAGATTTGGGAAGGCTTCAGTAAGCAACAGAACAAAAGCTGTGCTTCTGTGCCTTGAGTCCTCCCAGGAAAACATGCTTTGACATTGCTCTTACTGATAGAGATGTCTATAAACAGCATGATGGCCAGCAGAAAAAAAGTCCAAAGAGGTATACTGTGTGCCCAGGGCTTTTTGGAGCACCCAGGTAGTTCCTTTCCTATTGGTTAATGATGGCTGCAAATGACAAGCCAAGAGCAAGAAAAAACTACTAAGCGTGGTGTGATGGTGTCCGGCCAGCCTGCTGGGGAAGAATCTGTGGCTGCTCCCAGCTGTGGATGCTGGCTGACCACCTGGTGCCCCTTGGCCACAGTGCAGGGATCGAGACACATTTCCTGGATTCTCACAGTTGAACTAGAAATAATACATTTATAGGACCAGAGGCAGTTCACTGCTCAGGTTAAGTGCTTTTAAAGGTCTGAGTCATTCATACCGTAGGCTATTTGGGGAGCTGGGTTTCCTTGTGAAAGCACCTTTTGTTACTGCTGGAAACACTCCTGTTGTTCTGCCTTGCTGTGGGGCCACTTTGTTTTTTGGGCAAAGCCACTCTGCGTGGTCCTTTGCAGGCTGCATTGTACCTCACCTCCCTTAACGTAATTAGTAAAAAGTCTGGACACACTTGGAAGGCAGTGAGAGCTAGAAAGGCTCTGCTGGGATTTGGGAAAGTAAGCCTGATCTGAGACTCCCTAACACTGGTTGTAGTCTTCGGAGTCCAGTGGATCACACAAAGTACAACATTTTGTGTCTCTCCCATGTAAGGGTTCTCTGAGAGCTGCCAGTATCTCTGTTATGTTGGTTGCTGCTGAAAATCAGGGAAGTAGTTTTCCCTTTCCCTGTTAAGGCTCAGCACTGTCTGGCAGCAACATGCTCGTATTACATGGGCTCCTGGCACAGCTCAGTGAGATCAGCTGTGCCTCCAGTGTGCAGATCCAGATGGAGTTACCTCAAATTTTGGATGTCCAGCACTCTTAGCTTGAGGTGATCTATAGAGAGTTTTACCTTCCCGTCCGGTGTCAGCCCGCCTCCATCTGCACCAGGAATCTGATATTTACAGCCTAAACTGTTGGGCTGTCTCATTCCAGCTGGTAATAGCATCGTTAATTAGCTTCTTAATTTGTGCTGTCTGAATGTACCTGAATTTCTAGGAATTAAAGTCTGCATGGAACCCAGCACAGCGGTGAATGCAAGTGGAAAACAAGGCTGGATGCATTAAAAATGTTCGTGTGTTATTTAAAAAAAAAAAAAAAAAAGCTGAGGGATAGTGCAGGTGGATCATGTTTGCCTAGCGTGGGTTGTATAATGCTTCCTTACTGTGCTGGTGATAGATTTTACAGGCCAGGTGTGAACACTGAGATTAGCTCTTGTGATTTGCCAGGCAGGAGAGACACTGGGTGATGGCGGTGGGGTGGCTGTCTGCTGTCTGAGGGCTCCTGGCAAGATCTGAACCATGCTTGGGGTGGCCGTTCCCAGTGATACATTTGTCTGAGTGATTTTGGGGAAATATAAAAAATGATACAAGTAGGCATTTAAATCACATTGAGCATGATGTTGCACAAAGGATCTGGGACAGCAGTTGGCTATGAAAATTTATGTGGGTATGGCTTGGTCTTGCAAGAGTTCTGAGCATGATGTACGTATTAAGGGAATGGCTTGCTGATGGAAATAATTGAAAATATCATATATTGAAGAGTGCTGTCATGTGGGGCTGCACAAAGGCTGATGGAGGGGACATGCCATCCAGGAAAAGCAAAAATATTGCAGCAACAGCAGGAAATACATGTGGTTAATATGAGCCTCTGATCTCATCGTGACCTGCATAACGTGACCTGAGAGATGCTGTGAAGAAGGGAGTAAGGGATAAGAAGTCAGGTGCTTTTTGTGGTGTGGGAGGGAGGAAAGGTGCCAGCAGGATGGGCCAGCTTGGGGCTGACACTGCTGATGTGGTGCTGGGGTAGCCAGGGGTACGGGGAAGGTATGTGGTGGGATCAGGTAGACGCTTGTTGTATTTTCCATATAAAGAAAAAAAAAAATGGCATCAGAGGCACAGGCCTCCCTCAGCCTGCCACCTGCTCCTGCATGCCGAGCACATCCTGCTGCCTTCGCCAGGAGCAGCCAGCAGGAGCAGAGGAGACAGAACGCCTGCGGGAGAACTTTTAACATGATTACGTGACATCAGATGCAGCACTGGGCTCAGCGGGTGAGGAGCTGGAGGGGCAGCCCCATGCACACCGGGTCTGGGCAGAGCTGTGGTGTGCTCACATTGGTCACTCAGCCTGGGATGGGCAGCTCCCATGCCCTGTCTGCTGGTGAAACTGGGCCAGCTCTGGCTGTGTATCGCAGCTTTTTCTCTGTATTGTCTACCCAGTCGCTTAGTCTCCGATTTCTTTAATCTAATATTTGGGGTATCATTAAAGATATTTAAGCCTTTTGTTATGATAGCAATGCCACAGCAGCTCCCTTTTCTTCTGGGAATGGGCAGTGTTGGTCAAATCTCGGCTTGGTTTGGACCTTCCCTGCACCATGAAATGCAGAGCTGGCTTTGGGCTTCTGCAGGGAAGTGAGAGGGGCTGGTGGCCAGCCCTGGTGTGGGCTCTGCAGCTCCAGCCTTGCTTCACTGAACATTGTTTGCATCTGAGAGTAATGGTGGCTCTGAGCCAGGTCAGGCTAAGGGGAAGAGGTTATTCTGTGCTGTCATGTCTGAGGAGCAGTGATGTCAGTTCTCCAGCTCTTTTTATTAGTAGTATTAATTACAGTTTCTAAGCATCATTAAGTAAAGTGAAAGGAAGGTAAATAATGGCTGAACAGTGACATTCCTGTCATACATCCTGACAAAAAGCAAGGGGTGGGCTAAGCCCTTTTGGGATGGGCAGAGCTGGGTACCAGAAGACAGCTCTGGATCCTCCCACAAGACCCAGGGATATGCTGACCATCTGCTCCTGAGTTGTGCCTGAAGTTCCCAGGGGGCTGCTGGTGGTCGCTGGGGCCGGGGAGGGGAGAGGAGAGGACATCTCAGGTGGAGTCCATGTTGCGTGTGTTAATCGGGAGGTGAGGCTGATGAGATGAGAACAGCATGGAATCACTCAGAATGAAGAGGGGGGGAGAAACTACTGACCCTGTATTCCTTCCTCCTTATAGGTCCTCTTTGCAACGACTACTGAAAAGCTGCTGAATGATCAGAGGTTAAAGAACAGATCTTCATCTGGGGATAGTATTCTTTCTTGTTTCTGCTCAGCACGAGGTACCACCAGATGGTTCTTGGTTGCAGCTTAGAGTGTGACTAAAATTTGTTTTTCAGGCACTTAGGCAAATGGGATTTATTTAATTTCTCTTCCTGCTCTTCCCTTCCCCTCCAAGCTATGTTCTGAATTTCGACATTCCCTTTTCCCCATAGAATGAAGTTGAGCTGGGAGAGCTGCTGTTGTCATTAAACTACCTGCCCAGCGCAGGAAGACTGAATGTGGACATCATTAGAGCAAAACAGCTTCTTCAGACAGACATGAGCCAAGGTTCAGGTAAAGGGCAGGGTATTTCTCACGTTACTCATGCACAGCTTTTATATCCTTCTAAAGCAGACCGCCAGCAAGGCTGCAATTTGTGCGGGATCTAGGGGGATTTGGATGCTCAGTTCCTTTTAATACAAGGCACTGGATACTCATTTTATATATGTAGTCAATAGTAACCAAAGTAGCCAGAACACTTACTCTGAGCTAAAACTGAGGGTATGAATGCCTTTGTGACACTGAAGTTCAAAATCTCTGAACCAGAGTGAGGTGAGAAGCCACAAGTCCCAGTTACCTCCACGTTCCATTTTGTAAGACAGCCTGTTTAAGGTTGTTAAGATACTGAGCACTGTGTGAATGATAATACTGCAGTGGTTTTATTTAGGGTAACTAGCTGCTCTGTGGACAACGTTAGGTTTTCACAGTGTCCGTGCCTTGCTCCCTGCTGTTTCTGAGCATGCAGACTGGTAGCCACGTGCTGCACCAGGCCATGCTCCCTGCCCCAGCATTGCTGCTGTCAGAATGCTGGCATTTTTTAGAAAGAGCAGAGCATCTGGCCTGAGTCAAGGCTGTCATTAATTGTCTTGGTGTGGTTTCAGTGGGAGCGTTACTAAGGCAGCTGCCCGGCTCCTGCCTCCCCGCTGTGCGGTGCTGCAGGCCTCAGTCCTTCCCCAGCGCTGTTCTCCAGCATGACCCAGCCCCGTGTCTCTGTGCCCAGCTGTGCTGAACCTTCCTGAACCAGGACGTTGTCTCACTACTCCAGTAACGTACAGCCTGAGTTTATTATGTTTTTGTCAGATCCCTTTGTGAAAATTCAGCTTGTTCATGGATTGAAGTTAACAAAAACCAAGAAAACCTCCTGCATGCGGGGGACGATAGATCCCTTCTACAATGAGTCCTTCAGCTTCAAGGTTCCCCAGGAAGAACTGGAAAATGCCAGCTTGGTGTTCACAGGTAAATGTGCTGCTGTTATTGGTGTGGCGTGGCCTTACTCTCCTCTGAGGTGAGCAAGACAGCATTTGCAGGCATGCAGCGAGCCCATGCAGGGCAGTGCTGGTCCTGGTAGCTGCCCCGGAAGGGCAGCAATAGCTGGAGTTCTGGGGTAGCTCAGTAAGCATGCTGTGCTCTTCAGAGCCCTCCACAGCTTGAGTCTGGAGCTGCTGGGGATGCACCTTGCCTGTTCTGTGCCACTGGAAATGGTTTTGTGCATTAATTACTCTCTTGGTGATAAAGCCAGAAATCAGAAGAATAAGAGATGAGCATTGAATGATCCTAAACCCAGCCATTGGCAAAGATAACTTTTGTTACCTGACGTAGTTTGCCTGTCAGATGATGCAGTCACAGGCGTGTAGCACTGACATCACCTCTTCCCTGCAGCACAGCTCCACTGGAGGAGTGCTGGGGCTGAGTGGTGGCTTTGGGGACATATGCTGCACCCACAGCCACTCTTGAGTTCCTGTGCCTCTCATTTTATTTTTTGGCAGATTTCTGCCCATTACTCATCACCTTTCCAGAGAACAGAAATGGATCTGTACCTGGAAGAAAATATGTTGACTTACTTTATTCCTTACATGGCAGAAGCAGGTGCCACAGCCTGTACCGGGAGCCTAATTCCCACCCATTACCTTGTTTCCAAAAGTGATGCTGATCAGTAATTTAAATCCTGCCCTTCATGTTCAAATATTTCCTCAGCCAAAAGCCTGTAATTAATCACATCTTTGCATGCACGTTGTCCTGAATGCACCTTTCATGTGCAATGATGAGTGTGTGCTTGGAAGCTTCTGTCAGGTGTTCACATGACAGATGTGAAATACTCTTCTTTGTTTTCATCTTATAGGAGAATAAGTGGTTGCAGGATCAGCACTGTGTGATAGGGAGCGTGAGGGGGTGTTCTGCTCCTCTCTGAAGCTGAGGAAGTTGGCATTGACAAAGTGGCTATTGGATTATTTTTATTTTTATTTTTTTCTCTGTGTGTGTGTTCAAATGGATGTATTTTAAAGTAAGTGAGTTGGAAGTTAGTTGTGTGATTCATAATCATACATAATGCAGTCAGATTTCAATGGTGTGTCTTCTACTTGGTACTTGGCTGGTAATGCTTGCCTTGGAAGTTGCAATAAGTAATCCCGAAGTGTCCATTTTTGCTCTAGGCTTTTGTTTGCTGTTGTGGTGGTTCTTTTTGTTATTTGTTTTCTGGAGCTGATTTTTAATTTTATCTTTTTCTTTCCATGGCTCTAGTCCTTTAGGTCAGTTAATTAAATTTGCTGTTGAGTCGAAGTCCAATTGAAAAGGAAAATAATCGTGCTTGAAGGGTGGTTGATGCTGCTCTAAGTGGGTAGAGAGCTGCCAGTCACTGAAGCCAGAAAATGAGTATATCTTCAATAATTTAAAGGAGCCCTTTTTGTGGCCTCATATTTTGGACCCAGTGTACAGCTGTCTTTACATTGGCTTGGCTTCATTTGAAGGTGGTGGAGCCGTGCCAGTCCCTATCAGCTCCTGCCTCCCTCTGTGTAGCTACACTGCAGAGTGATGTGCTATCAGACAAAGTACAGTTATTATTTTTTCCATGGTGTTTTTTTTGTCTTGAACAGACTATCTGGCTTCCAGTGCACTTAATAGAGATTTGTGCCTGTTTCTCCTGTGACTTTCCCAATGACAGCCCTGCAGCCTGGCAGCTCTGTAGGCTCTCCTCTGCACTGTGTTCTTCGTGAAGCTGCAGAGAACCACCCTTGGACTGACCCCACATTAGGGCATAGCTGTGCTGGGGATGGGAAGCCTGTGTGTGCAGGTGGGGAGTGTGGGGCCAGCTCAGCATGAGCAAAAATTTGGGGTATTTGGGACCATTCCTTAGACTTTTCTTTTTCCTTAGAATCAGAATGATTAAGGTTGCAAAAGACTGCTAAGATCATCTAACCATCAACCATCCCCAGCATGCCCACTAAACCTTGTGACTCCTTGGGCATGTTGGGACTGAATTCTGGAGGTTATTGGTGTTCACAACCCAAAGTGCTTCTCTTTCCTTCCATATTGGTGCAGGGCACGTGTGCCTTCTTCTCAGGTGCCTTCTGGGGATGTTGCTGCCTCAGGGTCCCCACTTGGTGCCCAAAAGGAGGTGAGATGAGCTGGGGGGAGGCTGTCTCCACCAGAGCACCATCTGTACACAGCTCCTCACCAGAAGAGGCTAAAACCAGGAAAATGATCAAACGATGTAACAAGCTCAATTAGTGATGCAACAGCTTGTAGAGATGTTTAATTGTAATTTACTTCATCCAACACCTTGTCTTGGTAACGAGCACCTATGCAAACAGTGACGTTTTTCTTTGTGGTGCGTTTTTCTGCTTGCTTTTTTTCTTTTTTTTGCAGCTTGACCACCCCCGAGGTCGTCTCCTTGGGTGTGGGCAGCTTGAGAGCTGGCCCTAGCAGGGCAAATTTGGAAGGACAGCCGGTTCTCCTGAGCACACATACCTCTGAGCAAAGGCATTCATTATTCTTTGTCCTGTGGATAGTGGTATTCAGCTGCTGCCTCCAAGCAATAGCCTGAGGTCACCCCTGGGCACACTGCTGAGAACGTTTGTGCAACAGCAGCTCTGCGCTCAGGCTGGCTGAGTGCTGGCCTGCAAGTGTATGCTCTTCCCTGGGAGGTTTGGGACTCAACCCCAAGTCCCAGCCTAACCTTCAGAAAGCAAGAGGCATGATGACACCTGACATCCAAGCACCGTGGTGTTTTGTTAATGATTATAGTGTTGTTAATAACAATCAGGTAATGCTGTTTGCGGTGCAGTAAAGCCCAGATGGTCCAATAAAAGCCACTGGAGCTCTGGAGCGAATCGCATCTTGGTGACTCTCTGTCTTCTGATCACTTACAGCTTGCAGGCACTTTCTCTTCTGCACCATCTGTAGGATTTTCTTCACGTTTCGATGTGGTCATGTAGGACCATGTTGGTTTTGTTTTAGTTTATTTTTTTAGCTCCTAAGGAAGCATAGTCAAATGGTGGGATGTTGAACACCTTCAGCTGTGCTTTCAAGGGCTGCCATGCTCCATGGGGCTGAGACAACACCGTGAGTGTTCCCTGCAGCAAGCACTGCTACGGTTCATGTCTTCAGCCCCAACATTGTGCTGACGCTTTATCCTGCAGCTCTAATTAACTTCCAGTTAATAGGAAGTGCTTGATTAAAATAACAGATTGCTGTTCGATAGCAGTATAGCTCATTCCTCGTTACCTTGTTTTCTCTTTTCCTCAGCCCTTGGGGAAATGTAAGAACCGTTTAACGAAGTTTGGATTTTTTGAGGAAGAAAAATCCTTGTTGGGATGTGTTGATAATGGTGTTGTTTTGGTGCTCAGTTTGCTTTGATTGAAATGCTTTCTTTTTTGAAGAAATACTGCTTGCAGGAGTTGTTTTGGGTTGGATATTAGAAAAAATCCTTCTCAGAGGGATGAGGTATTGCAGTACGGCTGCCTGGGGGTGGTGGAGTCAACATCCCTGGAGGTGTTCAGGGAACGTGGAGATGTGGCACTGAGGGATGTGGTCAGTGGCATGGTGGGGGTGGGTTGATGGTTGGACTAGATGATCTTTGTGGTCTTTTTCCAGCCTTAATGACTGTATTAACTTCCTACTGATCTCAAACCTGCATTTACCCAAAGCATCTTGATATAAAGTTATCTGGGATTCACTCTGGATCAGTGGTGGTCAGGCTGGTGGTGCAGACGTTGGACATGAGGGGATGCTTTTGCTAAAAGCGAGAGTTTTTTAAGAGTCCCAAGAATGGCATGCAGACACATCAAGGATTTTCAATTTTTTTTTTTTAATTAATAGGCTGGTTTCCAAATGTTCAGATAATTGGAACAGGTTGAACTTAGATAATAGATTTGTCCTCAGGCTACTCCAGAAATACGTGTGAATTTTGATTTGCCTGGCTGTATACTGGCATCTGAAGGTCATGCTTTCATCATCTTCAGGTGCCCATTTGCAAGGGGTGAAAAACACAGTCTGTTTGGGGTCATTACATGTCTGATTTCTGACTTGCTGCTTCAGATGTTCATGTCTTGTTTCTCCTATTGCTTTGATTTCTCACAAAAATTCAGGAATTTTGTCTTTTGCATACATCTATGGGAAGAAAAAAGTTCTCTCCTCTAACATGAGGCAAGTGAAACTTTTTTTTGCCTCCCCCATGCTGACATACAGGAAAAAGAGGTAGTTTCTGTTTTTTTTAATGCTATGCTGGGCAATGTAATATCTCTTAGGTAAATAGATAGGCAATTTGCTGCTAGAAGATTGTTTCTCTTAGACCTGTGCTTCTGAAGCAGTGTGATATCTATGTTTCATATATCAGGAATATAGAGATATTGCAGGTCAGAAGAGGAATCCAATCTGTGCTTAAACCTGTGTAATCCTATCTTAGTCGAAGGAAGAAAAGCAAAAAACATTGATGTCAGCAGAGGATTTTCTCAGGATTTAGACCTGTTTAATTTAGATCAGAAATTGGCCTTTGTTTCTGGTGTTTCAAAATACTTTATGTATTTATGCAGTGTACACCATATGGTCCATGCCTGGCTTTAAGGATAACAGAGCAGTGCTGCTGCTGTGCTCTGCATGGTGTGACCCAGCAGGTCATCAGGAACACCTCTGCTCCTGGGGCAGAGGGACCCCAAACCAGCCCTGGAAATGGAAGATTGGCTATAAAAATAATCACCTGGGGCCTTCCCAGGGGCAGAGGTCCTGCGCTGGGCTGTGAACTGCTTTCAGACTTCGGCACGAGGCTGTGGGCAAGCTGCTGCACGAGAAGGTGCTGGTTCCCTCTGCTGAGACTCCGGGGGATCCAAACCCCCTCCAGCCTGCCTGCACTGCGGGATTCAGGCTGCTTGGAGGAGATGCTCAGAGCTACTTTTGCCTTTTTGCACCAGGCTGGCCACTTTAATGAGAAAGACAGGATTAATAACAATGAGAGCACCAGGATGTTTGTGCTTCTAAACCAATCTGTTGCTTGCAAGTGAGGCAAAATGAAGACTCTTCATTCTGCCTGACTTTGTTAATAAGAAGTCGGTGGCTTCAGTCTCTGCATCACTGCAGGCATGGCAGAAAATGATTGTTTCTGGAGTTCTCTGGAATTTTTTAGCAATTGTCTTCTAAAGAAAAGAGCAGTCGCTCTTGGAGCTGACCTGCAGCACTTGCTGATGTTGCAGCCCATTAATTTAAACAGTGTCACGCCTCTCTCGACCTCACTCTTTTTATCTTGTTTTGCTCATGCAATGGTGAAAGAAATTACTGCAGCAGCTCACTGGGCTGTAATCTTTCTGTATATCAAATGAGGAACAATCTGCGTGGCGCTGGCTGCTGTGGGTGTGAAGCTACCTGGGGATGAGATGCCCATGCTGGGGGCATGGGATGTGGAGCTGCCTCCCTGCTGCTGGGTTTGGCCACTCTTGGGGTTCAGATTCCCTCTGCAGCTGGGTGCTGTGGGCAGCCTGATGGAGAAGGTGCAGGGGAGTGAGTTTTCCATGCAAATCAGAGCCTGCGGACATTAAATTGATAAGTGCAAATCTACTGTGTTTCTTCCCTTGCTTTTCTGTTTCTGCTGAATATTACTGGCCACACTTAAGGAGCAAAGGGCAAAATTTAGTCCACCCCATGGCCTTCACAGTGAGCATGGTTAGTCTGCCTGCTAACAACACCCACTCTGCACTAAGTAGCTCTTTAATATTGATGTCAAGCAGTTCAGAAGTAGTTTCATACCCATTTAACTGGCAGAATAGACCTTTTAGATGGTGGAGACAGCATGGAAAAGGCTGGACACTGATTTTCTATCTGTACTGGGCTGGGGAAAGAAATGCAGCTTGCTTGCTGCACTGCGTTGTGTGCCCAATGTGCTACACTGAAATACAGGAGTGCCTGGGAGCTCACTGAGTTCTGGGACTGGAGGGGGTGGACCCATAGGAGTTAAAGGCTTGGTGCTAATAGAGTTAGGGTTTCTTCTCAGGAGATAAAGATCTTGCCAGACTTATTTCCCCAGTAATGTGCTGCCACCCAGTTGCCCACCTGCAGTTTTGGTTAAGTCTTTGCTATTTTTCCTTTTCCTTGCAGTCTGGTTGCAGCCTGAGGATACCACTGTGCAGTGTGCCTGCAGGAGCAGCATGCTGGCTGCCTAAGGCTTGCAGGGTTTGCTGATTGCAGCATAACAGTGACTGACAGCACATGTGCTTCCATGGATGCAATCATGGTTGGGACGTAGGGTTAGAAGAGCTTGGTGTTCCAAAGCTCTTGCAGTAAGAACATATACGTGTATTTTCTCAGAGTCTAGCCCAGTGTGCTGATGTGACACATCAAGCTTTTACAGGCTGTGGCAATAGCAATTAAAAAAACATAATGGGTAATATATTTGTAATGACTTTCTAGCCTGAGAGTTGATACAGGTACCCAGTGTTCCAGATCAGTGGCTGAAGCACCTCCAGCCGTAGGGACTGGCTGTAGCTGGGTGTCAGGGGTGCAGGTGATCCAACAAAGCAATGCTCAATTATTTAAGGCCTTTTAAAATACACAGTATGTGAACAAATTGAATTAAACCCTAAAACTCTGGGGGCAGTTAGATTATGGCTGATGCTGCACTGTAAACAAGCTGATGGCATACTGATGTAAATCAAGTGAAGGTGTTCTGCTTGATACCTAGCCCAAAGGAGATGGTATTTCTCTTTTTTTGGAGCAGAGGCTGTGGGGCTGCAGGGCCTGGTGCCTGCAGGAGGCAGCAGAGGTTTGGGAAATCTCGGGCACATCTGGCATGGGGCATTCAGGAGCTGAAGGTGTGCATGGTCCTGACTGAGCAAGGCACTTCCTTAAGGAAGCTTAAGGAATTGGCTAAAGAAAATGGTGTAAATTAGCTTTTGGGCTGGATCTGTGCTGGGTTGATGCCATGCAAGCAGGCTCCTGGGTCAGTTAGGATCAATGTGATGATAAGAGGATAGCACAGAAATGCTTTATTTGCATTGCATCACTTTGTCCTCAAGTATTCAACCCTTTCAATAGACACCAGTGAACTCAATTTTCTTTTATATTTCAGCATTTCTACTAAAAAGAGGTGGTTTTTTGTTTGTTTTTTGTTTTTTTTTTTTTTAAATCCTTTCAGCTTATAAATGCATCTCTCAGTAAAGACCATCTGCAAAAGGAATTGGTTTGACCTCTGCTTCCTTAATTGCTTTTTGCTCCAAGTTGGCCTGGAAATAAATGTTGCTATTGTGTAAATTGCTGCAGTGGTGGAAAGAGCCGATGAGATCAGGTGCATAAGTTTTGTCAGGAAAATCACTTTCTTAACAGGAAAGCAGTGCCTGCTGCCTGTAACCAGAGCGGGTCAGATCAACAGACCCACCTGATAATTAACCTATTTTCTGCTTCTGAGCAGGCCACAGTGCAGGTTGGAGGGTGTTTAATCTGAGATCTCTTCCGAGCTCCCTCTAGGCCCTGGAGGGGTGCTGAGGGCCAGGTAATTCGGGCTGGGGTAGGAGTGGAGAGCCAGGGCCCTCCTGCAGAGGCTGAAAGCGTGAGTGTGCATGAAGCTGCTCTTTGCATCGTGTGCTTTCCGTTCTTTGGACCAACCCTGAGCACCCTGTGAGCCCCTGCCTGCAGCATCAGGCCTGCAGCTGGGCCACAGGCTGCGTGGGGCGCTGGTGGCTGGGGAGGCTGCAGGCTCACGCACCTGAGCTGGATGTGGTGCTGCCACTTACGGTCTGCAGGCGTGCTGTGAGCAAGGGCTCAGCCTTGGGAAACTTCCACCCTGTTCTTCAGTGTAAGTCTACCTCTGTGCTATCGAAATTATCGAAGTGAGAGAAGCAACAATGCTTGTGCAATTAGTACATTAATATGCTGAAGGAATCAGCATACTAATTACTTGACAGGATGAGAATAGAGGTCGGGTTCTACAGAAGGAATGAGCGATGAGTCCTGTGGATTCAGCTCCATTAGGATGACAAAGCCTTCTCTATTTACCAGTAACACCTCCAGCAAGGTGCTTCACATTATAAGAAATCAAAATGCTTGGGTGAATGCTAAAACAAATGGCCTCTGCATGTAATGCACCGTCTGGTTTTACAATCCTGCTGAGGATTGTGTCCTAAGAATCAAAGAATAGGTATGCCTGGGATACTTTGCCTCTTCTAATTGAAGCTGTGAGCAATTGGTGGTCTTTAGGACTTCCTGGTTTGAGTTGGTTTTGTCTCTCTGGATTAAGCTTTGTCCTCTTCTGTGCTTGAAATAAAGAAAAGGAAATCAAAAAAGTGAGGAAGAAACAGCTGTATTTAAAAAAGCAGGAAGCATTTGATTTGGGGGTCCTTTTATGCGATTTTTATCATGTTTGCTTTTGCTAGGGTAATAAATTCTAGCAGGCCATTTAGCATAGTCATCGGAGCCACATTTTGATCTCTTCCGTTATGTGAGAGCCCATAAATAACACTGGCAGGCTGTATACTGGAAGGGATGGGTGGCTTACTGCTCCTTACTGCAGCCTCAGAGGCAGTTCTCCAGGCAGCACAGAGCTGCCCTGAGGACACCAGCACCTCCTGGAGATATGCCTCCAGGTGCTGGTGGCTTCACCTCCAGGATCTGATGGTGACCACCTGAGAGGCCACGGATGCCCTAAGGTGGGGAGGTACCTCCTTCAAATGGTCAGCGACTTCATGTCATGTTTTTATTGTATGAACATGGAGAATTGCTGGGGACATGACGGGTTTGCTCATGTGGCCAAGGGTGCTGTGGTGTGGAGAGGACTGTCAGTCAGTGGGCTGGTGTGGTGCTGGGCATGCTGCAGTAGCACGGAGCTGCCTGTGTGGTTCCCGTGGCCATGAGAACAGAGCTTTGCTGTTCCCAAAAATAGCCCTAGGTCATTCAGTAAGAAAAAGCATCTCAGGCCCAAGCTGAGACGTTGTGCTGTGGGCTGCTGCCACTTGCAGAGGGAGCACACTGTTCTGTGCTAGCGCTCACCTCTGAACTTACCTGCTTGGGTCCTGGAGCCCCTGCAGGCATTTGTTCTTAGAAGTCCTCCTCTTTCATGGGAAAGATTTTAATCTTTAGCCAGTGGTTATCCTGGCTTCAGCTTTTGGAGACTTTTGGTTCAACTTCCTAATGAGCTGTGGCTATTTCTCAAAACACAAGGTGCTTTTATGCCTGCCCAACAGGAGCATGCAGCCTTGGCCAGCATCAGGCCCATAATTACTGACTGCAGCTGTCTGCAGCTTTTTTCCACGAGGCTAGGCTAGCACAAAGGATGGGCGTTAGGCTTGCCTCTCTCCCTTGGTTACTTCCCTGGCCTTTTAACAAGTTATAATTACAGAAAATTGGTTCTGTATAAGCATCCCACTGACAGTCTGTGTGTGTGAGATTCGTATCTGTAATTTGGCAATGATACTGATTATCATTACAAGGGGTCGTTAACATTGTGTTTGAAGAATGGCAAGGATGTCATCCTCCAGAGGATCTGGAAGATGATTCTTGTTCATTTACCCAAGTCGAGGCTGTTTTCTTGCTTCAGCATCCTGATTTGCCTGGACAAAGGCCTTTATTTAGATGATAGAATTGTTTACCATATTCTTGCTAAATAGCAATGTGGATTTGTGGGTCCTCTTTATTTCAGTTATATTTAAATCTGAGTGCAACTTGTCTTTTTTTTTTCCAAGCTGCTCAGCCTGTCTCTTGGGTTGATGAGCTACACACTAAAAATTCCAGTGTCCTGGCCAAACCTTCTTAAAAGCTCTTCAAAAAACATCCACAAATTGCCACTGACATCCCAGGTTATGAGGTGGCACAGCCACAGGACATGGCTGTCCCCTGGGGGGCTCATGTTCGGCAGTGCCCGGGGTGGCTGAGCGGTATGCTTTCCTTGATCTGTCCCCGTTTCTGCTTCCCACAGTGTATGGGCACAACGTGAAGAGCAGCAACGACTTCATCGGGCGGATCGTCATCGGTCAGTACTCCACAGGTGCTCCTGAGTCCAACCACTGGCGCCGGATGCTCAATGCACACCGGACGGCTGTGGAGCAGTGGCACAGCCTGCGCTCACGGGAGGAGTGCGACCGCGTCTCCCCGGCATCCCTGGAGGTGACATGAGGCGTGACACCTGTGGTGGCCAAACCAAACAGGCGGGCAAGGCGGGGAAAAAACTCCAACCTCCAAATCACCCAACCTCACTCCCACCCCACAGCAGCTCCATCGGACCGAAGCAGCTGCCGGTACCCACCTGGCTGCGTTGGCCTTTGTGCAAACCCCTGCAGCGCCAACCGTGTCCTGCCGCGTCCTGTGCCAGCAGCTCCTCGGTGGCACTGGCTGCCTGACTGGCCGGACCCGTTGCTCCCTGCGCCCGGCACCGCTCTGCTGTTTCAGTGACAGAGCAGCAGGTGGAGGTGCCACAGGACATGCCAAGATGGGGAAGAGTTCTGAGTTGCTTCCACTCTCCTTACGATCCAAATCCATGACTTGTCCTCTCGGAGATATACGTACCTGTGTGCTCTCGTTGGTGAACATCATAATTAGGCTAGGATGTTTTTTTAAATGGTAGAAGCTGTGGTGAAGTCGATTCTGGCTCCAGTTTTGTCCTTGTATTTGTTTCAACAGAATTAAGCTCCTGTTAATACGTGGCCAGCACACACAGCCCTTGCTGTGCGGGGCTGATGTGCCGCCAGCAGCGGGGCCTGCCACTCTCCATAGCAGTCTGTGTGCGTCCAATAGATACTGTGATGATATAGCGAGTAAATGTCTCCAGTAGCATTTATACTTCTCAATCCTTCCTGATGTTGAGTAAAAGAAACCTGCTGTGGGTACTTCTGCAGTTAAGAATGCCCCCAATGCACAATTTTACTTCTCTGATAGACTGCAGTGACTCCTTCTGTGTTGTGTGTGTTTACTGAGGTAGTTTTCCAGGTCAGCACATGAATGTAGGTGTGGTCAAGCTGTCCTGTTGGTTGCTTCTGTACATTATTTTTTTTCCACGGCATATTGTCTGGTATAATGCAGATTGTATATTTATTGAAAATAAAAGTCTATTTAATTGTGCCATGCACCCTGAGGTGGTAACTGTTAGCAGAACTCATTCTTCCGTTGAGCTCAGTTATGTTTATGGTGCTAGTAAAGACAAGCCAGAAGGTTGGAGCAGGCCCGTTTTTTACTGTGGGTGAGCCCAGGGTTTTTTGGGGGAGCAGACCTGGAGCTGGCACAGCCCTGCCTGCCTGGTGGCCAAGGGCCCCATTCCTACTGCGTACATTCCCAGCCAGAGCACCCTGGAGAGGCAGAATGTGATGTGTGTGCCTGCATGGGACTGCAGGTCGCTGTGCTCTGCAGGAGCTGCCCCCAAATTATTACATATGGTAAAAGTTGGGTTTTTTTTGGTTTTCTATTTTTTTTAACCAGCGTTGTGGCTGTAGGAAAATCTGTATCTTGCTTTCAGCGCATTCACAACTCATACTAGAGGGATGGCATCCACAAGAGAGCAGGGTTTGGTGCACTCCCAGAAAAAGCTGTAAATTTGGATTGGATGCTAAGAATTAGAAGGAAACAGCACTGAATGTGTTCCCAAGAAGTGTGCCCAGTGCTGGCTGGAGGCATAATGGGGTCACAGAGTTTTATAGCATGTGTGTGTTCTGTTTCCCTTACCTGTATGCTGATACTAGAAAATGACTTAATACAATGTTGTGTTATTGTTTTTTAAATCTGAAGTTTATTTCCAAACACAGTTCTGACCACAGAAAGGAGACATTCTGGAGCATCCATTCTGGAGCATCCATTCTGGAGCATCTCTGCTTGATGCTGGAGGTTTCCTCGTGTTGCAGGATGGCACGAGCACGTCGTGGAGCTGGCAGGCGGGCGGCAGAGTGAGCGAAGCAGCCTTGCTCTGGGCAGCATAGCCAGTGCCTTCCTCTCTGAGCTCCCGGCTCTGATAACAGCCAGCCCACAGCGCACAGCGGGGCAGTACGGGAGCGCAGCCCCGCCGGGAGCCGCATCCCCGCACGGCTCGGGGAGGAGGGCAGCGGCGGGGAGGTGCGGGGCCGCCTCCTGCCGCGGGTGGGGCCGGAGCTGCCCCCAGTGCCGCCGCCCGCCCTGGCCGGAGCCGAGCACCGCGGAGTTGCGGCGATGGGCTGCGGCCGTGCTGTGTGCGTGCTGCTGGCTGCTGCGCTTCTGCCTGCCCGCGCCTTCCCCCAGACCAACATCAAGATCAGCCAAGGTGAGTGAGAACGCGGTTACCCCATTTTGGGCAGCGAGGTCAGGCCCTCTCGGAGGGGCAGCAGTGGACTTATCAGTTTCTTCTGCTCCAGAATTCTCAGGCTTGTCAACTTCTTCTTTTGGGAGGATAAGCCCAGAGCAACCTGGAAAATGACAAAAATACGTGGTTCCTCCCATTCCTCTGCTTTTTTTTCTGTATGTAAGTCTGAAGCATGGAGTGACAGCAGCTGCTCTGTGCCACTTACATGTGTTGCAAACTTGTTAACGGGGCTGCATGGAGGTGTGCCTGTGCACAGTGCAGCACACTGTTTGTTTGTAGGGCTCTGAGCAGAGAGGGAGAGTAGCACTGAGTGCTACTCGTGAGGAAAGGGATCAATACTTGGCTGCCAGATGCCTCATCAATGGCAGCTTTCCCCCCACTAATTAAGGAGTACAAAAATGCAAGATAACTGCTATCTGTTACGTCTGGCTGTAGCAGAGCCACAGGGGGCTGCTGCTGTTGGCTGCGGCAGCCTCACATCTCCAAGAGTGTGTGACATGAGATTCCAATCTGGAAGGACAGCTTGGTTTTATTATAGGGTCTTAAAAAGCAGAGCTCTCTGTCTGAGAGGATGTTGCTTTTCTGATGCTCTTCAAATGTTCTTTAAAGTTTTACTTGGAAATCTGTGACTGGTACCTAAAACAAAACAAGAAAATAGCGACACAAAAACAAATGACTGCAGGGTGTGCAAAACATTGCCCAGTTACTGTCTGGTCTCCATGTCCATCAGTGGCTGCCAACCCTCAGACACAAGGGAACTTCCACCCTGCTGAGGCAGGGACTCATGCAGTCAGTGTTGTGTCTCCTTCAGTAGCATCCTGATTAAAAAAAGCCTCAGGAAAGTGCCTGGGGATTTCTCAGTTTGTTGTTGGGAAGTGAAGCTTTCTGCCAGAGCTGTGCCAGCTTCTGCATGGCCGTGACACAGGGTTTGTCCCGTTACGGGGATCCTGGTGGCTCTGAGCTGGGTCTCAGCAATAAGTAATTAGAACTCTAAACAAATGGAAGGAGAGTGAAGCTCTCTTTCTGACCCTACATTTTTCCTTTCCAGCTTTTCTGGATGTTACCTACCTAGTGTGGATCTTACCTTCAGTCAAGTTTAGACCAGAAATTTGGGGACAAAGGGCTGACGTGCCATGGGGCTGGCAGGAAGTTGGTGTTGCAGATGGTAGCTTTGCTTCAGGTGCTGCTCTGGCCCCTGGGAGCTGATGCTACTGAGGGGGACGTTTTTCTGGGGGTTTTAAATCTGAGGACCTGGTCAGAATATGCCCCACTCCTGTTTACATTAAGTATCGTTTTCAGCTGCTGGCTTAGGTTATGAGGTTTTCCTATAGAGCTGTGAGTGTGCTTATATACTCACGCATGAAATTTCTTGTGGCTTTTCTGCTAAAAATAGCTCCTGAAGTTCCCAGATCACAGCAGCACCCCCAGTTGTCGCTGCCTGTAAACGTAAGAGCAGAAATCCTCCTCCAAAGAGAGCACCAGAGCCTCTGATCCTGACCCAAGAGAGAGGATGCTAATTAAATGTTGACCTCCCTTCTTTTTCTTTTTGGTATATTTAACCTTAAATTCCTTCTGGCACCTCTGCTTCGCTGAAGCTCATCAAATTAATGCTACCTAATGGGAAGCAGCGCAGAATAACAAAGGAGGGCCTCTGCATCTCCACTCAGTTTTGGCTGCTTTGGACAAGAGGGGGGCAGTGATCCTCCGGGGCAGGGGGTGCTGAGGGCCCCAGTGTGATCCGGGAAGGGAGGGAGTTGCTGGTCTCTGCCCTGTGAATTTTGCCACCATGCTGCTGGAGGTGAAGAGTTTGCCAGGGTTTTTTGCACCTCAGTAAAACAGCTGGGGGCTGCAGCCTTTTCCCCTGGATCCAGTCCTTTGCCCCCACTCTTTGTGTGACACCGCAGGAAATCACATCAGCTTGTGGCATTCCTGGTCCTTCTGCTCTACGGCTGCGACAACAATGGCTCACTTTTCTTAGGGCTGTGCTTTTCCCATCGCAAGACAAGCTGGATGCCATCCTGAGCCACACATCACCGCTGAGCTGCCTGGGTCCTGGCTGCACTGCTCTGAAGCTGCTCCTCGTCTTTTTTTGCCATACCAACATTGCCTTCACTGCCCCCTCATCACATGTGGCTGTTGGTGGGGATCTGCTCTGCTCACCACTGACTGACCCATGGTGGCAGTCAGTTCCTTCCAGGCTCTTCAACACCGGAGGCCCTTCAGCAGTGCCTTGACCTCTCCGGCCTTGAGCCTGTTACCTGCTTGGGTAGCTCAGTGGCATCTGCCTCTCCCAGGGCTGGGCTGTGCCCTAAGCCCTGCTTCTGACCCCTCAGTCATTCCAACAGAGCCCTGGGGGGAGGCAGGAGCTGATGCTGAGGGAGCTGGGGCACATCAAGGCTCAAAACGCAAGGGCTAAGGGGGTTCAGCCTGTTTGCTATGTGATTTTGGGACATGCACATGTATTAGTGTTAGTTGGTGTATGCTCTTTCTCCTTTGTTCCACATAAAGGAGGCTGCAGAGGGATGTGTTCATGCTGCTGCGAATTTTACATTATGTAAGGGCTCCAAAAATGCCTCTTGTGCCCCCAAAATAGCCTCACTTGAGGAACTTCTCTTGCCTTGCTGAAGAGATCTGCAGGGCCCCTCTTATCTCCCAGGGAGGCAGATAGAGCAGCACTGCACCCCTTGGCCTCTCCAGGGCTATTTCTGGCCCACAACACGAGGCGTGCTGGTGTGCATGGCTGCCACTGGGCTAGGACAGGAGATGTGCTGAGAGGGAGCTGTGGCCTTCCAGGAGGTACAAGCAAGAGAGCAGTGCATGGCCACAGCCCTGCTGCTGTGGTGCCAGCCCCATCCCAGCACAGCGGCCCTACTGGTGTCTGATGGAGCCAAGAGGAGCTCTTATCTCGTCTTCAGTAGCACCAGTGAGTATTTTCATTTGGAGTACCCCATGCATGATAGCACGTCAAACAGGCTTGCAGTGCAAGTCTCAATATTCTTCTAGGTGGCCACTAGAATAGGGAAACTCATGGCTTTTTGCAAAATTTGTTCGAGCTTGTGCAAAATTTTGAATGTCTTTGGCCAAAGCTGCTTTTTTTTTCCACATGTATGGCTTTGGTTTGTTGTCAAGGAGCAGGGGTGGCAG